GAAGTGAGTTGTCGTCTGATTCGGCGGGCATGGTGGGGGCGGTATCTGTCACGCATTCCTGACCTACACTCCAAGCACGGAATTCGATATGATCATCGTGGGGCCCACAGAGAGCGAGGCTAGTACAGGAGGCTTATACAGGATCTGTTATCATCCGCGGTGCGAACTCGCGCGTCGATGGGCTATATCGAAGGGAGCTCCAATACTTTCCCTATCATCAAGCTGTTAAGTGCAATACACGACAATTTGCAATGACCTCATACCCAGTCGCTTCAACCTAACCATGTCTTTCTCTTTCCCCTCGATGCCATGGAAGATCTGTGTTCGCAGATGTGTACGTATGTTAGCAGGTGTAGTGATGCTGACATACGTACAATAACTAAGTAATGGCTGATGGTTCGGGTGATACTATAAGTCATGGTTGAATAGCCCGGGCTGCTCCTGTTTGGCAAAGGAGTCCGACGGCTCGATTTGTTTCGTGTTAACTGATTCTGACTCCCGAATTCGAGCCACTACGCATCGTATGCCGCAGACTACCGATTCCATGAGGGCAGAGCATTTTCGAGTATCGTACAGATGTATGCGGAACAACCTCTGAAGGAGCGATACGCGCAGATGTTTGTATCAAAATGGAGCCGCACCGAAACTCATCTTGAAAACAATTATCGAGGAAATTCAGCGGAATGATATACAGTGTCCTATGGTGCAATTCTTTTCATCATCACTGTTGCAACTCACGGAAGCTATCGTTTCCCGATACACGAGAGAGTAGAAAGAAAGCTCACCTTCGGCGCAGGGGCAAGTTGATGTCCGTCGAGTGTTGACTGCCCATCGCTCGGTTTCGCCTCTGTGAAAGACAAGTCACCTCTGTAGTAAAAGTGACTCCACATGTCCAGTAGAGCCTCGCTGGCTTGCCTCACTGGTGTGATATAGTCTAATATTATTCCAATCGCTCTGTTGGTCAGCGACAGACCCTTCTGTCCTCGACCGATATCCCCCGAAGCCACCTCTTGAATGAGTCGGTAAAATAGCAGACAAATGGCCGTCAAGCTCTGCGCTGTCGACTTCAACTGCCGTTGAGCCGCACTGTATCGGGCCTCAATCTCGGACACCTGGTTCTCCAACGCAGAAGCTCTTCCCTCCGCGCGAGTTAGCAAAAATGAATCATTTCTTTCTGTTCGCACATCCGGAGTTCGGGAACGGGTGGGGCTGTTATAAGCAGTGTGATGTGATCTCATTGGATCCTCCTGGTACGCCTTTCCATTGGTGTTGTTGATACTTTCTGCATGGATGAGGCGTTCCATCGATGGTGACATTCCGGACCTCTTTCTGACCGCATGTGCTTCTTCACCGGACATGCTAATACGATCGAGGAATCCTAGATGATGAGAGTGGATCGATAAGTACGTGTTCAAACGCAACGTTAAGTTTCCATCGCGGATCAACGCGGGGAATTTGAGGAAGACTACATGAAACTCCGTACCCCCGGTGATGGAGCGGAGGTTTCTCGGCGTTGACGGAGCGATACGATGGCTAATTATATAACTATGTGAGGTTCATGAGTGTTTCAGCTGGCGTACATTCAACTTGAATGATTCGAGTTACACAAGTCATTCTGAGCCCCCCCCCCTAGCAAGTTGAAAACATGTTGTGATGACAAACTCATCATCAAGTGCAGATGCAAGTGTTGGGTTTCACATCGGAGCACGTTACACTAGTGTGTGTTCTATTTCATGGAAAGAAAATCACTTCGCTCCGCTCATTGAGTTTGTGTACGAACGTAGCTCAGTCTTCATAAGAAGCTTTACGGCTTTCATCACTCCGGCACTTGTTGAGTGCTTAGTCTACTACGACTTTCCTCTAAGAAGGAACACTAGTGTTCATGTCATAACTCCAGATTCTCAAGAGTCATAGTAGCGCAATGTGATAATAGTAGTAGCGCTCTCGACGACGGCATAGGACACTCATCACATAAGTGCATCATACAACAAGTACGATACGTAGTCGGAAGTATTTCATGCTACCTGAAATGGAAGGCGCGGGTTCGAATCCCACGGACGTCATTTTTAACGCATTTATTTTTTGCTGACATTCCACACATTACTTTCAAGATTATTAGACTTCAGTTGTTCTCGCGTGAACGATGACTGCTCCTCTCGATGTCCATGATGTTTTCATTGGCATTGATGGTTTTGAGATAAGAAACACGTTAATGAAGATGCTCAAAGTGAGGCTTTGACTAATACCCTTTTCTCGGCAAAGTCGATTACAAAGAAACTTTCAAGGCGAAAAAAGTTTTTTTCTCTCGGGAGAGCAAAAAATTTTTTGAGAGATTTTTTTCGGGGAAAAAATTCTTATTGTCTGGCGTGGTCGATGAATTCGGTAATTAATTTTGCATCTGCTCAGTGTGATAAAATATGGACATAGTCGACCACATGTGTTGGTGACAACACCAA